GTTTACATCTGGCGGAGAAGGTGCGCGCGCTGTTCCGATCAATACCCCGCCTCCCTTATCGCGCCGTTCGCTAAAATATATATCTCGCGAATTTGTATTGGGGGGGTTGGATTAAGGACCTTAAAAGCTTTATATGATTTCAGTGGATACTTTTCATTTACGTTTAGAATATAGGATTTTGATTATTTTCCCCGGGTTGAAAATGAGTTTCATGAATGTTTTGTATTTTTTATTGTTCCATATGGGTTTTATAAGCTACGATTTTCTTTTATATAAAATTCAGGAAATTTGTATTTGGAAACATATTGTCCCAACCTATTCTGACTTCAAGAATACTGTAATACAGGTAAATTAACGGAATTTATTGAATTTCATTTTGGGTAAAACTTGCAGTTCAGAGATATTATTGTCGGTATTTTTTTTCTCTTCCCCATTATTTCTTGCTATCGATTTAAAAATTTATACGAGGAAAAATATTATTGAATGAGATGAATATTAGACTCTCTCTCTCTTCTCTCTCTTCTCTCTCTCTCTCTCTCTCTCTCTCTCTCTCTCTCTCTCTCTCTCTCTTCTCTATATATATATATATATATTATATATATAATATATTTATATTATATATTATATATCACACAGTTTTTAAACTGTGTGCGGCCTCTCAATGAATATTCGTTTATTACAGACATTGCATATATACGCATAAAATATATGCATATATACTAAATTATTAATTTATATATATATATATATATATAAATATTATTAATTTATATAGCTATATTTATTATATTATATATATTATATATTATAATTATATATATTATATATATATATATATACATATTATAATTATATATATATATACATATATAATATATTATATATATATATATATATATATATAATATATATATATATATATATATATATTATATATATATATATCTGTGTGTGTTGTGTGTGTGTCCGTGTGTGTCCGTGTGTGTTGGTGTGTGTGTGTGTGGTGTGTGTGTGTGTGTGTGTGTGTGTGTGTGTGTGTGTGTGTGTGTGTGTGTGTGTGTGTGTGGTGTGTGTGTGTGTGTGTGTGTGTGTGTGTGTATGTATATCTAGACTGAAAGATATGCCTTTATTTCCGTGTACATGAATATCCGTATAATAAATATTCATGGGTTGGGTCTCGCACAATTTTAACAAAAATGTAAACAGAGGAGTTCAAGAGACCAAGATGGCGCAGGCGGAAAAGGCTGTTTGGTATGTTGTCGTAAGCCACGTGATACCCATGTGATATAGGTTCACGAATTATATATATGGGGAAGACGTGTTATGAAGAAACGTATATTGAATATATAGATATTATAAATCATTATATATTTTTAATACATATACGTATCTGATATATATATGATATATATTGATATATGTGATATGATGATGGATATATGATATATATGATGATTATATATGATGATATGGCGATGAGATATGTGATGATGATGATGATGATGATGATGATGGCGATGATGATGATGATGATGCTGATGATGATGATGATGATTGATGGATGATGATGATGATGATGATGATGATGCGATGGATTGATGATGCGATGAGATGCATTGATGATGATGATGATGATGATGGCCGATGATGGATGATGATGGATTGATGATGATGATGGCGATGATGATGCGATGATGATGATGAATGATGATGATGATGATGATGAATTGATGATAATTGATGATGATGATGATGGCGATGATGATGATGATGATGCGATGATGATGATGATGATGATGATGATGGATGATGTGATGATGATGATTGATGGATGATGATGATGATGATGATGACGATAATGATAATGATGACGGCGATGATGATGATGATGATGATGATGGTGATGTACACTCACCTGCCTCTCCGAACAGCTGTGTTTTAACCGTGACGCGGCTGTCTCGTATTCGGTGCAGCTGTTTTCCCTGCATTTAAAGCTTGCAATTTGACTGCATCTTCAGAAACAGAAAACAAGCAAGAAAAAGAAAAAAGAAAGAAGAAAAAAGGAAAAAAAGAAGGGAAAAGAAAGAGAAAGAAAAGAGAAATAAATAAATAAAGAAAAAAAGGAACGGCGAAAAAGAAAGGAAAGAAAGAAAAAAAGAAAAAAGAAAAAAAAAGAAAGAAAGAAAGAAGAAAAAGGCGAAATAAAGAAAGAGGAAGAAAAAAAAATAGAAAGAAAGAAAAAAGAAATAAAGAAAGAATGAAAGAAAGAAAGAAAGAAAGAGAAATAAATAAATATATAAATAGACAAAGAAAGAAAGAAAAGAAGAAAGAAAAAAAAGAAAGACAGAAAAAAAAGAAAATAAAAAAATAAATGAAATAAATAAATAAGAGAAAATAAATAAATAAATAAATAAAACAAACAAATAAATAAAGAAACAAACAAAGAAAGAAAACAACACATTGGCATATGCGAAAATATAGACTCAATTACACAAATTTA